TAGTGAGTTTGTAGTCATGGGATGACTGTCATCCTTTGATTTATACATGCACTAAAAACAAACCAGAAACAAACATAATCATAGGATGACGTAAGATGTGATAAAGTGAATTTTTTCTCCAGTAAAATTATAAATAGGCTCAATCTTTTTTTAAAGGGATAGTTCACCCAAAAAGGAAAATTATGTTACGGTAGTATTTACTCACCCTCATGTTGTTCCAACCCCGTAAGACCTTCGTTTCATCTTCGGAACACGAATTAAGATATTTTTGATGAAATCTGAGAGGTTCAGTTTAAGAACTGAAAAGTTATTAAAGACATTGTTAAAATAGTCCAAGTGACCACAGTGGCTCAATCTTAAGTTTATCAAACGACAAGAATACTTTTTGTGCACAAAAACAAACATAAACGACTTTATTTCAACTATTAATTTCCTTCTCTTTGGGCCTCTAGTCAGTTAACGAAGTGTGATAGCGTAGGGCTACGTCACACGTAGGCTCACTATTGGCCGACACTGGTCGTGTGTGATGCGTGTGACGTACAACAACAGATCATACGCTGTTAAACTAGTAACCTGACTCCAGGCCCAGTGAGAAGGATATTATTATTATTATCATTTACGTAATTATTAATTGAATTATGTTATTTATTCTCGTCGTTTGATAAAGTTATGATTGAGCCACTGTAGACACTTGGACTATTTTAATGATGTTTTTTAAAGGGATAGTTAAATTTGAAATAAATTTTAAAGCCTAAAAGATTTGAAGAAAGATATATCCATTTAAAAATGTTAATTCTGTCATTATTTACTCATCCTCATGTTGTTTCAAAACTGTCTGGATTTCTGTCTTCTGAACACAAAGGAAGATATTTGGATTAATGTCGGTAACTAAACAGATGATTGACTTCCATAGCAGGAAAAAAATGACTAAGGAAGTCGGTGCGTGGGACACATCGACTGTCGGCATGTACACAGAGACATAAGATTATGTGGAAATGGAATATGCATGAAAGACATCTCTTTGGTATGATGGTGAACTTGTTGCTTATGTAGGTGGTTCTTTAGGGGGAAGGGCGCTAATGTTACACCCTGAAGCCAAATGCTTAACCTCATTTGCCTCATTACATCTCCTGCCAACAGATAATATGGAAAACTCAAAAGCTCAGCCTGAAAATCCTGTCACGATACTAAAACTGAAGGCCATTATTATCGGCAAACGTTTGCCGTGCAAGTTTGAATCGAGAAAACAAATAGGGAAAAGCTCTAATTGGTGTGTAACACAGGTCATTGTCCCATCATCCATCAGGGCCATCATGGAGTGCATCATCTGACATCATGTGCACTGTTCAGAAGCATAACATCATTGAACAAGAGCCAGCAGAGGAGGAGAGGGCCCAGATCAAACACAAAGCTGTAACCACACATGACATGAGCGGCAAAAAGAGCAGTCGCACTTCTAACGAAAGGCGGTGGGAGAATGACCCATTTACCCAGCATGCCCTGGGGGGCTGAAAGGAAAAGACTACTGTCTTGTGGTGCCAGTATGCAAAGTAGGTTGGATGTGAATGGAAGAAGGAAAGGAACGGGGAAAGAGGTGGCTCACTGGCAGAAGAAGGTCTAGGTCAAAGCTGGCACTGAATGTATGGCATCCGCCCTTGGCCATATTTTGAGGGCAGAGCTTGTAAGGTTCCCCCTCATATTTATGGCCTCCCTCCCAGGCGCTGGCGTGAAGAAAGGGAATGATATTATCACTAAAGTAGCTAGTGCTCTTGCAGATTATGGCATGAGAAGGCATTTCCCTACAAGGCTGAATAAACCACACACAGAAATTATTAAAGCATCTATTTAAATTTGACAAAAATATATCATTGCTAGGTCCATTTTTCAGCATAGTGAAGTCGGTGGTCATTGTGCAGTTAAAATAGCTTTAATAACTCAGTGTTTCATACCCTACATACACGTGTGTGTGAGTGTTACATTATATAACATTTTAATGCCCCCCAATGTGCATGCCTTAATGTATTTTCATTTACAAATTTACAAAAAGTAAACATTTTATTCTAAAACAAGCAACAAACAAGTTATAAATATATATATATATATATATTGTGTTTTTGTATTAACTGATTAAGCACGCTCAAACATAACAGACGGTGTATGTGTGAAAGTTTCTTGATTTAGAAAATAACCGATATGCTTTTTTTGTGTGGAGATTAACTGTTAGCGAGTTTTAATCTGTTTGGATGTGGACATAGATGTAGGCAATGGGGGGCAGACTGGTTCAAGCTAACGGTCGATAGGGTAATTTCTCCTTCAATCTTCATCTTTGGCTTTTTGTTGTTGAAGGGACAAGACAATGCAAGAAGCATAGAATGGGAAGGGCGAAGACAAATGGAATGAGTTCTCTAGAGAGCAAAAAATGCTAAATGTGAGCATATAAAGGACTGAGCTGGAGGAAGGGGTCTAGTAGATAACAAAGGTGTAACGACAATAGCAGGGGGGATGTGTCCTCTCGTTTTAAGCTGTGTTTAGTTGGGGGTGCGCAGGGACACGTGCCACTCTTGGTAGGAGGGGACAGGGTGGAATTGAGGGAGCACAGCCAGTGGTGCCCAATCCGCCCTTTGCTTTGTTCTGCCAGCTGTTGCTGTCACGGACAACACCCGAGCATCAATGGACCCCCAAAGGGACAATCGCCACCTTAATACTCATTTACAAACATCTCTGCTTTCTGCTATAGGGAGGGTGGATTGATCTAGTAATAGTGAGGCGTCCAATTGAAAAAACAAACAAACAAATGTTTTAGTAAAAGTGCTCTACAGAAGATTTTTAGGGCAAAAATAATTATAAAATTACATTACTGAGTGTTCAAAAAACTGCTCTGGATTTAACTTGCAATTTAATGTTTCAAACACAGATGGCGATAGTGAGGCCAAAGATCCATAGTGCAGCAGTGATTGATGGTTATTTATCTAGCAAAAACCTGTTTATATTATAAACTTAAGAATCAATAGAAAATGTGCATTTTTGCACATAGTTGTGAAAGAAAAGACATACGTTCCCTCCACTCTTTCCAGCATTCAAACAGAGATTTTAGTGCAATGACAAAGAAAAGAAGCATCATCTGGTGTTTCAATTGCCTATAACCTAAATGAGGCATGTAACCTACTGTAGGCTTATAGGCTTGCATGCTGTTTGGTATAATTTTAAACTTTAGAAGTCTTTGAATGCTTGACAGTGTTTTATAATCGTTGTAAAATGGAAAGAGTTCAGGGCTTTAAAATGGTGAATGGCGATTTTAATCACAAAAATGTTTCCATTAAATGGAGGTATCATTTTTGCAGTCATAAAATTTTGAAGACTGTTTTCTTTTGCCAGAAATGGATTCTCTCAGGAATGTCCTATGGGTTTTTGAGCAGCAGTTTTGATTACGAGTGAAATAAGATCTGTGGTTAACTTTAGTCTACTGGAAGACTTAATTATAGAAGGTTTTTCTATAGGCCTAACATTATTAGACAGTAGCCTACCTTCAAGTGATTTTTTAAAATGTAAGTTGTTAAGTAAAAGACCACCACAATAATGTGAGTTTATGTGCTTGACAAATCAGACAATCAGTGTAGTCCTTAGTTTATAGCAACTCAACCCTAACCGTTTTAAATATCAAATTTGAGATTGGACTGTGTGTAATTTATGTTGTAGATCTAAATGTTAATGTCTGATGTCTTTTTTCCTGTCTGTGTTCAAAGCAAACAAGCCTTTGTATTCACATTAAACAAACAAAAGCCCGTCTTAACCATAAAGAGTAGAGGAGTAGAACAACTCTGATGCTTTTTTTGGTCACAGCCACTAGGTGGCGCTTCGGTAGCGCGGCCGCCATTTTTGAGTGAAAATTCCAACTGGAGTTACTAACAGCACATAATTTATTTATTTTTTACATTATTAGTGAGTATTTCCATATTATGCAAATGTACACATTTACTACTATAATTAGTTTCCAACTCCACTAGGCCTGTGTATGTAGGCCAGGATGTATTGCTGTGTCCATTATCCTATAACTTTAATTGCCACTAGACGGGCTTTGACCATAACAATCATAGATATCATATAGATGTCTATGATAATGCATGTCAGACACATACGAGGCTCACTGCTGCCATCTAGAGGCTTCTGAAGCTTTTCACAATCTCTCTCTTTAATTTAATCACTGTCTTGCAACTGGTGTGACAGCTTTAGTTTGAGATGCATCCAAAGAAAATTATCCCAAATTTGTCATGCATTTTTTTTTTTTTTTTTTTTGTCGTTGCTTTGAGCTAAAAAAGTGCGCAAGGTGTCGTCGGTCATCTGTTTCAGCATGCTTGAATGGCTGATTAAAACAGATAAAATTCAGTTGTACACACAATTGCTAGCTTATGGGAAAAGATGAGCACTGAGCAGGTACTTTCAGGTTAATCAGTTCAATAGTAAATACATTTTTTTAAACACATGGTTATGAAGAGTGGATTATGTCTATACCATTTCACAGCAGGGCTGTCCTTATTTGACCCTTAACAGGGAGTATTCCTCAATATTTATCTGATGTCTTTTTCTCCATATTTGACAGCTAGTTGAGAGTTGAAATAAAATCCCATTTGCAAGCTCACTGCCAGACTTCTGAGGCAGACTTTAGTTCAGGTTGCATTGGGCTAAACCCAGATCAGGACTGGACATGAGCCAGATGGACTCCCCCCTCCCCCCCTCATGTAATCTTCAGGGTCGCTTCCATTTCCTGTTCTCTGAAAGTTTGATTCAAGGAACTGTCATCATAAATAAAACTGCCTATGGATTAAAAAACAAGTCTTTAGGGGATGAAAACTAAATATGAGATAAAACAAACAAAGATAGCACAGAGAGAGTTAATCTTCAACACTGACGTCCCAGTGAACAGTAAAGTCACATGCTTGTCTCAGATTGTTTACTTGCACAGTCTCACAGTTAAAAATCCCCACTAAACTCAATACCACCCACCAGCTCTCTATCTCTCTCTCCTTGCTTTATCCACCCGCCCTGTTTTTTTCATGGTCAGTCTTGAAAACAGCCCAAGTAGTGGGGAAAAGCATAAAACGAAGAAAGTGTGCATATTTTCTTTTTTGCACATTTTTGAGATATATTGTCATCGAATCTCAGGAAACCTGTGAGTACGATGAGGGAACTTTCTAGAAGCTGCATGCCGAGGGAGACGGGTAGTAAAACCACGGACTGAAACACAGCATCTGCACTTAGAAACTACATTTAACTTTTGAAAAATACTTTTCCAACGATGCAATGTTTAAAAATGCTGCAGTAAGACTGAGTAATCTTTTTGCTTTGATAAGAATGTATGAATAGGGCAGCTTTCAGCAGATATGCAGATGAGTTTTGAATTTACATAACAACATCTTTGCTTTTACTCACACAATAGAAACTCATTGTACAATAAGTAGGCCTAGTAACATTTTTTAGAGGTATAGACATGAAAATTTATTTTAAATATATTTTAGAGCAAAATACTGATACCCGAGTTTTAATCATTTGTTGATTTGTGTGAGAGTTCAGTGTACAGGGCTCATTGTTTACGCTTGAGCTTTTGCCAGTTTCGTCCATTTTAGTGACAGCATATTTGTGTCTCTCCCGCTGCACATGGTGGTTGCAGAAAGTTTCAGCTTTGATAATAAAGCGTTAAAAAGAAGTTTCATCGTTGCACAGATGAATAAAGAATGTTGTACTATAGCATGACAATAAAAAAAAAACATTAAATAATAAATAGAATATGGTAACACCTTAGGCCTACAATAAACAACATTAACACATGTATATTGTTCTGTAACATTGTTATTTATTAATCTTTGGTCATGTTAGCTAATACGTTCATAATAATATTCATTGTTAGTTCATCTTAGCTTAGCTCCAATAAATAATATTAACAGATTTGTTGTCTCTTGTCAACTATCAATATGTGAATGTGTAAACTAACTAATAAATGTGGACCTTATTGTAAAATGCAATAATTATTATAAAGATTTTTATGTCGCCCTGTTCAACCAAACTCCAGACTTCCCACCCAGCTATGTATTATGAACGTGTGGATGGTGGAGACTTACTGTAATTAACAGCAAAAGATGTGTGACCAGACTGTACAAGCTGGGTTTAGGATTTGATCCAGAGCAGGAGGTACTAAAGCACCAGGAAGTTATACTTTATCGACAGTAAATGCAGAATTAAATAGCAAAAGGTCCTAAACTCAAGACTTCCCTCTTTACTTAGGGCTTTGACAGTATTAAACTACTGAAGTTAGTCCACGAAGATAAGAGGTGTTATACATCAAATAGTCAAGCAACTTCAATAAAATACCAGAAGGCTCAAAATAACAGTGTTTGTCTTAACAACAGCAGACAATGAACAGAAAGGAAAGACTGGCTTAAATACACCAGGCTAATGAACTATAGGTACAAATCAGGTGTGCTCTAATTAGTAACATACTTAGTAGCCACGGCAACTAATGATGACAGGTATATATAAGAACAGAGACAAGCAAACTATATGTGCATGAAGAAAAAGAAAGTGAAACAAAGGTAAAATGTGACAAAGAATTAAAAAATGTTATATGCAAACATATAGTGAAGAGGATGACATTCAACGTGGCTTTAAGAAGATGCAGGCTCCAGCTCATAATGTATAGATCAGTCTAAGATGTTAATCACCATTTGCATTATATTTAACCTCAATCCACCAGGTGCTGTGGTCCTTCTGAAGGGTTTTGAGATGCTGCGATTGACAACGGGACGTGTAGGGGGGCTTTTGTCCAGACGGGGAGTGGCTGCGTTCAGCTCCAGCAGTGTCAAGATGGCCAGCCATGGGCATGGTAATGTCAAATGTACTTTTTAAAGCCAAAAATATCATTCAATAAAAATAATAATAAGAGGATGATGGTTCTTTTGATAATAATTAACAACTTTGACTGTCAACTTGTGTAACCAATGAGTGGCCACTGCATCAGTATGTTTTTATAAAATGCCACTTTCTTTACATTTGAAATGCTGGCATTTCTCAATTGTCAATTGATTATTTCTTTCTGTTCTCTCAGGTGATGTGGCAGAACAGGCGGACATGTCTGTACCCATGTACTGTGACCGTCTGGACACTCCTCTTCCAGACAAACCATACAAAGACGCCCTCAGTGATGCAGACAAGAGCCTGAAGCAGAAGGAGAAAGGACCCTGGAATAACCTCTCCAAAGAGGAGAAACTTGCCTGTTTGTATACCTCTTCCTTGTTGTACGTTCTCCTTCTGGTCCTGTGTCTTTTACTCAGTACTATTTGTATTCGAAGGTAAACGACCATAGAGAATACATTTTATGCGACTTCCCGTCTAGGCTATAGTTTTGTGAGTCCGTCTAAATAAACTTGAAGATCTGGCCATTTTATTGGGTTAATAAGGGAGATTTTCCTGAGAGGGCAAAGCACAGTATATGCAATCATGGAGAACAATTAAAATGTATTTATTTTTCTATTGTGATCCTCGATGGCAGTGTACAGGATGATGTTTAAAGAGTCATTCGCTGAGATGAAGAAACCAACGGGTGAGTGGAAGACTGTGGTGGGTGGCATCTTTTTCTTCCTTGGTTGCACTGGCCTGGTGGTTCTGTGGCAAAGGTACTATGGTAAGTCAAGAGATCATAATTGTTTTTAATTGAATGGTTTAATTTTAATGCTAGGATTAAAATGAGTGAATAGGTCTGTTTAGGTTAGCTTTTTTTTGCTTTCTCAGTGTATCCTCCTCACCCTCATACTCTTGATGAGGAATGGCAGGCCAAGCAGGTGAAGAGGATGCTGGACATGCGGGTGAATCCCGTGGAGGGCTTCTCAGCCAAATGGGACTATGAGAAGGGCCAGTGGAAGTAAATGTAGGGAATGCAGCTGTGAGTGTCACATTACACCTTGCCAATATCTGCTTTTTGTCTCTGGCAGTCTTTATTCAAACATATGAACATTATCCAATGGGCATTCAGTCCACAACACTGAGTCACAAGTGTTAATTCTTGACGAACAGAAATAAAACCTGAAAGAATAACGTCTTGTGTGTCTTTGTATTCATTCAACAAGATAAACAGACACATAATAACCACAAACGAGGTCTTGTGAATTCAAATGGGTCTTTATTTAATTTAAATGATATCAGACATTTAAAAAAAGACATAAAAGACATAAAACAATTAATTCAGGGCTGAAGCTGTTTAAATAAACCCAAAACCTTAAAAAAATAGTTTTCATTTTTGTCCCCATGTTGAAGGTTAGGTTGGCTAAATACAAACACAATGAGCAACAAATACACTTCAAAAGAAATGGAGTTTAAGGCCATAGGAAGGAACAATATGCGTTAACACGAAAAATATAAATAATTTCAAGTCAACAAACGCCTTAAATATTTTCACTAATCTATGATGAGCTAGTCTAATTGTTATTTAAGTTAACTAGTTTACATAGTGTCGTGCCAATGCTGGTACATTTCACTCTTAAGCATACTGTCAAACTCTGTAACCACACAGCGCGGACACGCACGCGCGCACACACACACACACACACACACAGTGACATGACAGACAAACATAGACTAAGCATGCAAGCAGCAAATTTCATAACACGGAATGTATCCTGTGAAATCAGTGTCTATAGAGCAGCAAAAGGTGTAAATGTCGGCAATTTCAATCTGCTAAGACTCGCCAACTATAAATGTTTACATCGTTATTTAAACAGTTTATTCGCAATTTAGGAGTTTAAAGGTGGCTTACTGGATCTACTTTTGCCAAACGAAACCTTTACATTTTAAACTCAACATAATACCAAATTCAGATTGTAACAATTTTCCAACGTAGCCGCCTTAGCCTGTAGCCTTGTATGTTATTGTACATTATCATCATTGAGTTCTTGTAAATAATAAGGCAATTGGCCATTTCTGAAAAGCTGTCTTTATTAAAAGAGAAGGATTGAATAATGAGCAAATGACCATTATTCCCTCTTTGGATTAATGAGCACTGATTAATCGTTGACAAAAAATATTATGTCGATTTTAGAAACAAATTCCTCGAGGAAAAATTCATTCATTTAGTTCCTCTGGGAGTCAATCGGGAAGAATAAATCTTTTCTCATACCTGCTTAAATGTTAACTTCCCGCGGAGAAATATCTTTTCTAGGTTAGTTCTCAGAGGACATAACGTTTAGGATTGGTATCTTGATTGACGCACCAAACGATTTCAGCTTTCCCACGTGATCTCCAAGCGGGGTTGAAGGCTTGACACACCTGTAGTACCACAGCTCTCATCACTTCTGTTTGAATTACCCCGCTCGTCAATCATTACTAGTCGTAAAAGGCGAGGAATATTCAACTTGACGTCCATTTGAATAACTGCTGGTTTGAAGCCTAAAGATCATTTCTCCACATCTCCGCGCGCTTTAAAGAGTTTGACACCAGCCAAGCTTAAAGCAGCAGGTGCGCGCGCGGATTGACACTCGCGCTTAACGTCTCTGACAGGAAAGAGTTTAAAATGAGATTCGACAGGAATCAGGAGCTGTGAGAAGACGGAGCAGGTTAGAAATTATCCCAACTATTCTAAGGTTTGCTCATGAATTACAATAATAATAATAATAAAAAAAACAACAACAACAAAGCATACATTTACTCTTTAACAGTTAAAAAGAATGAGTTTAGTCAAATACTATGTTTTTTGTTTGTTTTTCCATGGCAGCACCATGTTATCTGACCCAATGTATGTCTGTCAGCCATGGTTCAAAACATTGTGAACCATTACACGGTAAGACCCAACCCAACAAATCTATGAATGCTCTAATATCTGTGGAAATAACATCTACACTTGGAAAGGTGAATGTTAAAAGACCAGAATTGAGATTAGCATAGTCAAACTAACTTTTGCTTACTGAAAAAAACTCCCCACTGCATATGTAATTTCATACCTCAGATTCCAAATAAAACAAAAACTCAATGACTATTAGCTTGTTACAAATGCTAGGCCATTTGGTTACATCTGAACTGGTTGCATCCTCACTCCAAAGACCATACAAGACACCAAGCACTCTTGTGGCAATATGGTTTAATCTAATTACTTTCAGCTTAAAGTGTTACATTTTCTGTGTATAAAACACAGTTAAGTGTAGTCACAGATACAAAAGGAGTGATTTACTCACTCCTTATGTTCCTGTGTCTCTTCTAGCTCTAGTTACAACAATCTCAAAGGTATAAAGAGTTACGTGATACCACATCTGAAGCTGAAACTTAGGTTTAATAAGGTTTAATAAATCAAACGGCACCAAACATACAGAACATTCACTCAAACTGTTGGCCGTATCATAACTGTTGGTCCTTTAGACAATTTAGATGCTTTAGAGGATTTCAAACCTGCCAGTCACCTCGCACATTTAACGCTCATCAAATTCACATGTGAAAAGAAACAGAACAATAACGGGGAAAAAACAACAACATAAAAACTCTCACAGACATATTTTATCTGTTCTCCACGTTTTTCTATAATTGTAGAGAGATTGCAGAGGAAGCAGGCGCTCAAGTGTAGTGAGATACCTCTGCTCTCGAGCACTCCAGACAGGAATAACATTCCCCAGAAATGTCAGTGCTGATTTACAGACTGAATACATTTAAATTCAGTTCAGATTCAACTTCTTTATCGTTCGGTTAACTGAAGAATTACAAATGAGCTTAAATTAGATTTAAAGATAAAATGTTTGTATCCTAGTCAGGTTTGCAAATCTCTTTGAAAATGAGAGAATAATAAGGATACTTAAAAAGATTGATGATAGAGCTGAAAAAAAAAATTACAGACAAAGAAACAAGATTTGAAACTCTTTCTCTTGACTGTTTTAGTCATTTTTCTCATTTCGTTGAACAGGGTGTAAGGATACGTGGCGCTGCCTTTTCTGAGTCTGCTAAAACCAAAGCACCCTCATGCAGTCTGGGTCATGTGATGTCACATCACAGATGCACTCCACTCAGTCAACAGTACACGGTGGGACGGGGGATGTAAACATGAAATTTCTTGGCAATAAAAGTGAAACAAATAAATCCAAAACAAGTATTTTTGAAGTTCCTTCATTTTAGCTGGAGGTCTAAATGAAGCAGTAGGTGTATTTGGATCTTCAGTTATTCTGATCCTCACAGGCGTTTCTGTGCAATGAGTGACCCGACCACGACACCTGTGAGCAAGGTCATTCCCGCCAGCAACCACTTCTTGAAGCTTTCTTGCGACTTTCTGCTCTCTGCTGCTGCATCTTTTCCAAAGATCTCCGCGAATCGCTCCTGCACAAAACACACAGAGAATATAATCAGCTTTATTCAAGCTCATTCCAGCCAACCACTGAACTCCTTCAAGTGTCCCTTCCCATCAGGCCTTTCATTAATCCCACCCTTCCTGTGACAAGTTTGTGTGTGCAATAATGTGTTCGTGCAATGACCACCAGGGGGCGAGATTTACCATGCCTGTTTCAAAGATTTCACTAACCTAATTTCTCAGCAGGATTTTGTAGCAACCCCAATATTATTTGAAAAGCTGAAAGGGGATTTCAGGCTTTATAACGTAACCCATTTCCTCAGGGAACACACACAAAAGTAGAGCTCACCAACTGCAGATGGAGGCTGAAATAACTCTGAAATATAAATAAATATGACTCATAAACATGCATGAGTTCATACCACCCCAACAATTTCTGAAGACAGAATTTTTTTTTTCTTCTCTGCAGTTTTCTCAATTGGATCTTCACTGTAAATACAGGGTCAGTGGGATTTCTTTGACTGACATTTTTGTCAGCTTTATTACAGCCAAAAATAATTCACTGCATGCAGTCGATTGCACACACACCCCTCAAACACCCACCCCTGTTTTCCCACTCAAGAAGACTGATGTCATCCTCTACTCTTTCCCTTTGCCCTAGTTATCTACACAAGCTTGAAAATATGGGAAGAAGAATGTGGAGGACAGGGTAAAACCATCCGACACAACACGTGCACTGTGGCAACATTTATCAGTCACAAAGGGTTTCTCTTTACAGTGAAACAGGACTATCATAGCATGTAGCAGGATGAAGTTGTCTGACAATTTATTTAAATTGGTCTTTTTTAGCATATATATTTTAGCCTTTTTAGAGCATATATAAATAAATATATATAACAAACTTTGTATATAAAATATATTTATAGATTTAAAGGCTAACATATTTAATTTGGGCTTTGAGCATAAGATATGTATACATACATATACCTTTGTATATTTATATATTTAAAGGCTAACAGAATTATAGGAATTCAGATTTATATATAAATATAAAACTCAGCTTTTGGAAACAAACTGGTTAAATGGCCAAGGAGACAAAATATTGACAAATTATCACAAAGTTAGGAAATGATGGGGAGACGAGTAAGAAATAGGTAGTACACAGGGTAGACTCTTTAGTTGCACAGCAGCTTCATTTGTGTTGAAAACATGAGGCCAGCAATACTTTGTGACCATTTTTCTGCATATTAATACTCATCCGTGCTACTAAAGCAATCTGTCATGTTTCATATGAATTGAGAAGGGTTGCAAAAGCTGAAACATTACAAATATAAAAAAGGAGCAGCTAGAAGAATGGGCGTCTGTCGGGAGGACAAAGCACAACAAAAATACAAATTACCTATGGTAAATGACTGCATTTCACAAAGTGTATTATATGGGGAGGAGTTGTCAAATTTTATTGACAGGTGCATTGTTTTAACTGACAAAGAGGATGAACGGGAGATTAATATGAAGGAAGTAATAGAGTCAAAATAAGCCTGTTTTGGAAATGAAATGTATGACATTGTAGTCAAGTGATGTCAGTCACATAGTGTGCATAGAAACAAGATCAATTTCGTAGGAAATGATATCGTAAGTGTGAGGGAGTGGTGATGGGAGTGGCAGAAGCTGATAACAGAGATGCAGTTCCAGAGCAGAGGGGTTATCACAACCAGTGACGCAGCACATGACATCACAAGTCAAGACAGTAATTCACTTTCACTTACGGTTAACACAGATACCTAAAAACAACCTTAAAAACACCTTATGCTCAAATCTATGATATACAACGACAAAAAGATGAATATTTGATTATAATTACTAATATAGCCAACAACCACATTTTTACAACTTTGTTTAAAAAATAATGGAAGGGGCTTGACCATGCATAGCTAGGGGGTTCAATGTGGTTGCTTGCTGACCCAAGTCAAAGGTTCCCATAACCAATTTTTTGATCTCCAGATATAACTTGGCTCCCTCCATCAGTGCAAGTCTTTTTAAAAATCATGTCCCGAGTGCTTAGAAAAGTAATACTTCAACAAATCACACAACTGGATTGTATAAATTATATCAGTAGCACAAACAGTGAGGAACGAGTGTCAAACAACCCCTCCAAAAGGATAGTGATGCACAAATTGAGCAAACACCACATAAACACACACACACACACACTCCAACACAATAAAGTACATCCTACAGAGTTCAACATACTAGCACAATTAAACATAAAAGCAAACAGCACACAGTGACTTCTTAAGCACATATCATTTCTTTCATGCACTTCCTCAGGCACACCTTTGTCAACCTTGTGTAGTTTAAACATGACCCATGCCGAGCTCATCATGAATGGTGAACAGAGAGGGCGTGCTACAGTCAACACAGTCAGACGGCAGAGGAATTCGCATCATTCTTTTTAACAGATACATGAGTAACCCTTGGAGGCAGAGCCAAGCCTAATGGACACATGTTCGAGAAGTATCAGTGTGACAAACTGTGAGAAAAAAATAGGAACAATGTACACTGGTATGACAAGAATGTGGCTCTTTAATCACAGTCCAAATCATAAATCTAAGACATGTTAAGGCATGCTGTTGGATTATGGTGCAACGTATAGCCTAGGCTATAGCACATATAGGCTATGTATGTGCAATCATGTACAACAAGCACAAGCTATAAATGATGGGTGAATACAGGATGGGCAGATATGGAGGTGTGCATTAACCTTTTGAGCAGACATCTTTTATGCTGGAGTGAGTAAGCAAAATATCTGTCATGCATAATGTCTTTTAATTAACTAATCATCAGATGAAATATCACAGGGCTTTGTCAAAATATCCAAGAATAAGCAATAGTGATGCTTGCTTTAGAAAACTACTAATAAGCCTCTATGTCTCAATTAGATGTTGCATGAGTGAGCATAAAGCAATTAAAAGTACTATATTTCATGTTCAAACTAATTCCATAATCATCTTTGTTTTGTCCTAAACACTGAACAACAGGCAACTACAATTTGTCAGTTTCTTAATTTCAGCAGGCATCAGGGTTATTTCTGATGCTTCCCATCAAGAGTGAATGTTGTCTTATCCTCATGCCATTCCAAACACACGAAAAGACTTTTTCAGTTTTGAGACACACATTGAATATATGTAATGAAACCACGGAGATTTCTATCTCTTAATTGAAAATCCATTCACCCAAAACTTTGACACTTCAAAAAGTTCATAAAATAGATCATATAAAAGAAATTCATATGAAATCAAGCCGTTTAATCAATTTTCTGAAAAGACACTATCACTTGATGATCACTAAACGAGCATGGCTTAATCTGCAAAATGTTTGGATTAGATTCATATGGAATTATTCAGGTTTTGGTTGCATGGGCTTTCCAATGGAGGGACCGAAATCTCTCAGGTTTCATTAAAAATATCGTAGTTTCTCAAAAATGGATGATTATCGTATGGGGTTGGAACAACATGAGAATGAGTAACTGAATTTTCATTTTGGGTTAAGAATGTAAGGGTTTATTAATTCCATCCCCACCAAGCCAGGTACAGCACATGCCCTAACATGTCTCTAACAACACTGCCTGACCATCATGACAGCATTTATGACTCGGTTTTTAAACAGTTCATTAACTAATGTGACTCTTTGTATCTTGCGACTACACCTTAAAAGATTCATTCCTAAACTCACACTGATTCACTATAGGTGTGACTGAGTGAGAAGCATTTGTACACACAATCTGTCAAGAAAAACAGATTTTTACTGGCTCCAAACAGTGCTGAGGTTGTACGAATGCTCCCAAGAGATATCGGCTGCTAGGCAGCGGGGACTGCCAGGCGTTTTCCACAGCCCTATCTAAACAAAGAGCACATACAAACCTGGCCCTACAGGACAGAGTGAAACCAGGTGCCTACGTTCGTTGGTTAGCATAGGCTAATATCCAAGAGGCCAAGAAAGGGGCTGATTCTGATCTTAAAAGGATCACGGTGGGTAAAGGAGTTACTGGAGGGGTATAAAAGCTGGCACAGACGAACCGAGGCGGACCACAAAAACACCAAGTCATCCTTACCACTGTTACTGCAGTTACAATAAAGACTACTGAGCTACTCTGTTGACATCAGTGTATTACCTCAAGTACATCCAAACTCATCCTGTGTTAGATGATGAGCATGAGTGTGTGTGTTTAGGAAGTTATGAGAGGATCATACAGAGAGTTCAGTTTGGTTCGGTTGAGTCAGAGTACCGGGTTTCTCCACTGTTACACCATCCTGACCCCTTAACCCTCACCATGGTGTTTGTGAAACCAGTGCATTTTTTTTCAGCAGGCTTGTGCAAAATTCAGAATTTTAGAAATGGCCTCCATTCAATTCATGAACTGGAATTTGAATTGAATTGACTCCGCCCCACAGGAAGTTCAATTTGAATTGGAATGACAGGAAGTGGAATTAAATTCATGGGAATTCAAAAAATTCCACATAGTCACACAACAAAATGTCTGTGTTGAATCTCACATGTCACCATGACAGCTTAAAATGCTATCTGATCTAATCAAAAACAAATATATATACAAGTCAAACCAAAATATGTTCTTAATAAAATCCAATTATTAACTTTTTCATATTAAATAATGGCATTTTTAATAATTAAAAATAAACTAATTTTTGAGTTTGACAACAAACACATGGGAAAACACAGCTATACAGCATAGTTCAAATCAAAATAATCATTTATCATTTCTGAACATTGACTCAGTCTTTCTTTACATGTTTCTCGTGTTTTCTCAATATAATTCATAAAAGTATGGAATATAATATCATATTTTTAATAGGGGCACATTGTAACACAGTGTTACAACATGCCCCAACTGCACAACTGTGGTTTAAACTTTAAACCCTTCTAGTGTCTTCTGCTTGTTAGCGAAGCATTAAAGAACTATATCAACTGTTAAACAACAGATTGGAAATTAAAATAATATCAGATTTGTCTA